TTTATACTAGTCCTTTCAGGTCGTTGGGAGTCAGTAATTTCTTTCCTATCAGACCTGAATGTTTGGATCAATATAGTTTTTACAGTAGAGATGGGGATACGTACATCAAATTCAACTTCATCTTTGTTGCACGCTAATTTGGCTGCAATGTCTGTCTCATTATGATGGGTTATATTTATGTGTGAAGGTATCCATACAAAGGAGATTCGAGACCCTTTACTCTGTGCAGCAATTAGGTTATTTATAATTGGTAGTATGAGGTTCTTGCTTCTATAACAAATGTTCCAAAGATGTGTAAATATTTCATTCAAAATGATCTGCTACCAGAAATCTTAACCAAATATCCCAAGTTTGCTAACTGTAGGTAGTAACTAAGTGATTGTAACCTATCCACCGCTGCCCACTGGATGGGGGGCGGTGTGTAGGACAAACATATCAATTGTGACACTAGTTCTTCACATATGCCAGTTGCTTAATTTAGAAACTGTACTTGTGGTCGATCTCGAACCCATTAATGATGTGACGATGTGCATTGAATTTTTTAACTAGGTCATCAAGATTGTAACTTGCTTAACTAAATGAATTGTGGGGTTCAGTCCCTGAGCCCATTATGTGACTCTGTAACCCTTTTCACTACCACCCACAAGATAGGTATGGGGTACATAATAAATTAACTAAACTAAACTTTATAAATTGTAACAGAGCAGATTGCTATACAATATTTTAAAAATAACTGCGGTTCTGGATAATCCAGTGAGCAAGTAAGGTTAGTCAGTATTTGATTATGAACAAGTGTCAGTAGGATACATACGCATAATTAACATCTATTTAACTATGCTTCATTTACTTTAAAGGAAACGAGTCTATCTAGTATTGTAATAATTGTTTTAAGTAAAACTACAAAAATCCATGTTGCACTGATTATTCTACCTTGGTGAATATTTACAGCCTCCATCAATGTATCACATTTATTACACACAGCCTAGCACATTATTTCCCGTCATTAATTACAGATAATTCTCGACTGTGTTTTTTACTGTTTATGTTAATGTATGACGAATGTTGCCACAGTCCGAGCAGCTGTTAAGGGTTGTCCCGGTCACACAAGATTGTACGGGGTATACAGTATACACACCTGTGCTCCGCTACTCGGTGTATATATACATGTGTTGTTGGTCAGTAAGGTATTGCGGTGGTTTTTAATAACCCTCCAGGGGTTCAAAGGCCTTAATCTCCACACCAAACCAAAACCGAAGAGGTAGCTGCAGTATACCCGGTTCTCCTGTTGCTGGTTTACACTCTAGTGGGTCCGGATGAAACAACGGTATACGAGGACGGTTTTGTTCGTCTGAAATAGAAACTGAGTATATGAGGTATATATATATGGCCTTTCATTGTTATATAATAATCCAAATTTAGTTATTGTCTTATAAAATGTTTCGCTATATATTTTCACAAATGTTGGTTAGTGTACGGGACGACATGTTGCCCTTGACCTGTGTGTTCCCCACAAGAGGGCGAGGAGTGTATAATGGCGGGGTGGTGCTAGGCTGCCCTCCTGGCTCACGCCGGTTGGAAATCATATATATATTCTAGTTTATGGTGTGATCCTACTTTTCTTTCTCTCTCTCGATTAGATTGATTCTTAAAAAGTTGAACGACCTCTGACCTGCCTCCTGTGGTCCTTTTGTTACAATGCAAGGTATTGCTAAATAGGGATCTTGTAGTACAGTTGTGTTCGTTCTCGACTCACACTCCTGGCTCCTGTGTTCGATTCTCGGATGGGACAGAACTGGTTGGGCACGGTTCCTTTCACCCAGTGCCTCTGTTCACCTAGCAGGAAATAAATACCCGGGAGTTAGGAAATTCTTGTGGGTTTTATTATGGGAAGGATTAATAGTTCGACCTTAGGAGGGCTTGATACAAGCCTAAAGTATATGTATACGCAAGCCTTCTGTCCCCGACAAAACGAATTAAGTAATGAATTTGTCCAAATGGTAAGGGAACTTTAATATGATCACACCCGTAGTTCTTGTTACCAGTGTTAGTTTCTGTTCACCTCGCTAATTATTGTTCACTCTGCTATTGCTCATTCACCTGGCGGTGTGTCGGGAGATTATTGTAAAGTTACTTTTTTTTGTAATCTAACGAGAAATAGTTTTATACGTTTTGAGAAATCTTTCCGAGAGTGACATAGGTGTTCTTGACGATGTAAGGACACGGCGAGTAGAAAGTTTCTTGTGTTGAATGCATCACATTGAGTCGGGCGCTAACCATAACAGAGGTCACAAGGGTGTTCTGGCGCTCCGAACCTCTGGATATGTCGAAGGCGTCTCTTCTGCGCAGGCGCAGATGATTGGCCACTTGTTTCGTCATCACTCACCAGCTGCACCAGTTTCATAATGACCCGTGACGGGGAGGTATGCAGGAGGACAATGCTAACGCGTGTTGAGTTTGCTTAACCGGGGGACTACGCGCCGCTCTGTGATATCGTCTTAATGAAGTATATCGATAGAAGACCTCTGTGATATACGGAGGCTACGAGCCGGACGAGTAATTTTGAGATTTAAGACAGCCTCGACGTTTCAGGGCATCAAGAAGAAGAATGAAGGTGAGGTTAGCAATCCGTCAATAGGCTACGCTCGTCTATGCATCGGCCAACCCTACAGACGCACTCATCAATTTTAACATTATATATTCAAAATCTGTATTTTCTAAAAAATTATTATTATATTTTTAGAATGTGATGTATAATTAGGCCTAAATTAGAATAGGTAAGGTGATTAATTAGGTTTTGTTGGCAATTATTTGTATTTGTTCTTCGTTAATGAAACATTTACAGATGTACCATACTAACAGGATGAAAACGAAGCACTGTCGAGAAATGTCCGAACGTCATCAGTTTAGAGCTGTGTACAAGTCTTTTTCGTGGGCAGTTTGGCGCCGCGATTAACGAGCATTTGGCCTTTTATGAGGATGGTCTGAAACCCTTAATGGCGTGATGGTAGCACACTCGCCTCGCCAGCCGTTTCATCTGAGCTCAAGCCCAGGGCAGGGAGAATTGATCGGGTGCAAGTCCTTAACTGTTCGTCCCTGTTCACCCGCCAGTAATTGGAGGGCATGATTGTAGGGTACGGCTTACTGATAAACTATGGGATGGGAATGCTTTAAGCATGCTAACAGGAGTCATCACATCTACAACTACCCGACTGTGTAAATATATATATATATATATATATATATATATATATATATATATATATATATATATATATATATATATATATATATATATATATATAATATATAAGCGGTTTGGAGTCCATGAAGCCCTTTTTCACCAACTTCGAGGTCAACCCCGGAGCTCTTGGTTCCTGCGAAGGCTCTGGAACCAATCGTATTGGCGTTTGCCTTTCCATTGGAGACTTTTGGCGCCGTGGAGAGGGGGAACCTGCTGCCTGGGTAACAGCTTTTCCTCCATATCAACCTACCCTGGCTTTACGCCCTGGTGAGGCCACTCCAGACCGGTAAATACACTTGCCGACAAGGCGGAAGAAATTAGTGTGGTTATCCACACTCAACCATCTATATGCACGCCCGCGCACCAATAAACGCACGCCCGCACACCAATAAACGCACGCCCGTGCACCATAATAGTGGAAATACATTCATTCCCAATTCCCCAATTAACTGATCCTACCGCACCTTCTGAACCCTTTCCACAACCCCAACCCCTTCCATCCCACATAACATGTCACCCATCTACCACTTGCAACCCATACCACTGAGAACAAAACATATGCAAACGTTGGGAATGGAAAGACCATTTAAGGTGAGTCTCAAAATCTGGTATGTAAATAATGATGGAATTTAAAAGTAGATGAAAGGATCAAGGAAATAGAACCTTATATGGAAGGTGTAATGGAAACAAATCACTGAAGTAGTCGGAAATGTAATATTTCCAGAGGATTACTATGGGTTCGAGTCACTTCTGGGGTGTGAGTTTTCAGTTGCATATAATCCTGGGGACCATTTAAGCTTGTTCGCATATATATATATATATATATATATATATATATATATATATATATATATATATATATATATATATATATATATATATGTATATATATATATAATCTAGATCTTATAGGAAGTTGAAGAGAATTCAAATGAACACGCGGCTACACTACTGGAATATCAATAATAGACGAGGAAAAATAATTGTGATGGTTGATTTTAGTAAACCCAGACAAGCAACAGATGACCAAGACAGGAGAATGGACACGCAAACAAAACACAAAATATTGTAATACAGAAAACAGGATCAAAAGCACATTGGATGAGTAGTGATTATGAGGGACTTCAACCATGGGAAGATAGACTGGGAATCCAAGAACTAGCATGGTGGGGCTAAAATAAGGGGTGCAAAAATGGAAATACTTACTGAAAGAGCCTCATAATAGAAAATATTTAAAATGGCACGATAAAAAGGTGAAAAGATTTACCTAACCTTCGTAGCCTGATGTGCACCCGGCTCTTAATCATCCTGGGACCAAGCTGGCTTACATATTACATAAAGAAACTCTAATTGTCCCAGAGTTCTTATTGGCAGAATCCACTCCATGGGCTCCTTAAGGGATAGTCAGGCACCATTTGAGTTTCTAATCGCTTTGTGAAATCTTGCTCCGAACCAGGATGATCAGGAATAGATATCCTAAACTGTCTCCAGGTCTCTACGAGAGTATGAAGGTAACGGAAGCGTATAGTTGTCCAAGTTCAATCCATTATGTTTGAATGTCATATTAGTTTCCGGTTACAGGATGTCATATTTTCAGGTTATGTGAAAATGCAAATGATGCTGTACTCTTGAAGTAAATGGACAAAAACAGAGAGTTCCGGGCTAGTGTGGACTAAACGATCGTAGAGTAGGAACGTCCTCTGGAAAACGTTGGCAGCTCGTGTTTTCTGGGGACTTAGCGCCTCAGTTGTCGGTAAGACTGTGTGAGGAGAGGACGTGCGACTTACGCTCTCGCTCCCACCGTGAGAACCCTTGCTTGTGTTTCCGCCTCCTAACTTAACCGTTGAAACAAATAACTTGCGGTCATCGAATGTGCTCGTGTGCCTTTTGGTATATGTTAGTGTTGTGATCTATGTGCAGTTGCGATGATAACATTGATGTATCACACAGTGACAGCGTTTTATTGATTGTGTAAATGAACCAAGTCAACTTTTAAATGAATGTAAATAACGTTTACGGATTTGTGGCTAATAGTGAATGTCTTACGCAAGTGATCTTCGTACACTATAAGACTGTCATCCACGATTGTTCAGGTAAGTCAAGTTACAACTTATATAGCAGTGTACGCAGGTCACGTGACTTACACCATTTACAGTTTTCTTTTCTTATTTCGACTAATATAATATAATTATATATATATATATATATATATATATATATATATATATATATATATATATATATTAATTGTAAATCACGAAAATTAACACGTGATGAAAAATGTGACAGTGTCAGACCACGGAGGAAGAATTGAAACAGGAATTTCCTTAAGTACTTTCGTATATTACTACATCTTCAGAAGGCATGATATTCCTTCTGAAGATGTATTAATATACGAAAGTACTTAAGGAAATTCCTGTTTCAATTCTTCCTCCGTGGTCTGACACCGTCATATATATATATATATATATATAAATATATATATATATATATATATATATATATATATTATATATATATTATTTTTTCCTTATTGAGAAGTTTATGAGGTAAATACAAGTTAAACCAGTTATGATATATAATAACTATCTCCAACGTTGGTACGCGAGAATCGATGAGTGGCATTATTCTTGATTAACTTGAGTGTGTTAATGTTTTTGTTGTGGTGTGCGAGGTCCTACACCCCCAGAGTGGGTCCTCCCCCCCTCGTGTGGTGGCTTCATCGGCACCCACGTAGTATTGGGGGGGATGTACAGTCGATAATTATAATGGCGCCCTATCTAGCCTAATAACGCAGCAGTAGGTTGTCTATCCTAGAGGCGTCAGCTTGGGGCAAGGTTCCTAACCCAACTCGAGAATAACCTGGTTGACTGACTACGTGGGCATGTCAGTATGGTCAAGTCTGCCTTAACCCAACAGAGCAGCAACAAGGCTGTATTAAACGTTGAAGCCAGCCAAGGTGGTCTGCTTGCTTGACTCGTGTGGGGTCCGTCATGCAGATCTCGCCGACCCGGAACTCTCCTTATAAACCAGTGTAAGCAGATCTTGTCAAGGCTGGTGAGCAGCAACACGCGTTTCATTGCTTGAGAGGAAACTCGCGCCTCCAAGGAAAGTTTCACGGCACGCACAATCAAGTAACCGCTTCGGCAGGGTTATGAAAAGCAGAGTGTGGCGTGTTTAAACAGGAGTGGTAAATGAGCTTGCTGAGATCTTAAACACGCGTGTAGAGTCAACAGGAGCTAGCGAGGCCCTCACCCTGCCACTCTCGTCACCCTCGCTATTGACATGTATTATTCTGTACACTCTCGGCTCGAGTAATTCTTTGTTTGCTGTACGCAGACACGCACACAAAAAAGGCTCTTCTATAAATACAACCATAAGAGCTGGCAGCGAGAGGTAGTGTGTTGCGGGATTTATTCAACCTTTTTAACCATTTTCATTATGTTACGTGAAAATCAACAAGGATTTCATAGATCAAATGTATTAATGTATGTTAAATGTCTGTTTATTCTCTTGCAGTCAGTTTTTTTTTTGTAACCCCGTTTTTATTTAGTGATTTTCCTAGACTTTCAAGGTTATGAATCAAAGGTTAACCAGAATTGCTATCTAGTTACTGGCTGGGACACCATTATGTTGATGATATATTGCAGCGTAATGTTGTTTGCAACTGTTCAGGAGTTTTCTGGAATGGCAGTGTGAAGATTGCACCTCACTGCAATACACGTTACAAGTGTCAAGTATTAACTCAAGTACATTAGTCTCCAGCTTGTAAATGTTGATAGAAATTGCCACCGGTAGAATAACTAAAGGTTGAGTGTCCCTGGGTAAAATATATTCTATATTTGTTTACAATAACAGTTTTCAGAGTATATTATGCTACATTCTGAACCGCCTTCTTCGTGAAATATTGGGCGTCAATAGCCTTAAAGTTCATTGTTTCGTTTTGTGTGTAATTGTGTTTATAAAACATATCGGTATCAGTCTTGGGTTCAATAGATCAAAAGTCAAGGTCATAGTTGCCATAAAAAAGACGATTCGTTTCCGCTCATTTTCTTCACTTTTTCATGGACGCTGAACTTGATAACAGGATATCAAACGTTATCTTGAGGCGTCATTTGCCTGTCTTGTCGGTAAATGTTAAGCATTTGGCTTTCTTTCTGTAACTTGAAATGTGTTTTCCCGCTCTAACCCAATTTTCTGGCTCATGTATTTCTACAGAGATAGAAAGGCTAGGCTTTTTGCTTCTCGATAATGCAATATTTAGTGTGTAGTATATACCTAATTAGATACGAGAATACCTAATGTAGTGGGCCCTGGAGAGGAAAATCAGAGCCCAACTCAATTGTCTCCTTGCTACATAGCCTTCCTGGTTTGGTGCCTTCTATTGATAATAATTACTCAATTGTCTCCTGAGACTGATGGGTGTCTGCTACTACTAATTAGGCTACGTAGGCTTGTTGATGTTGCAGAAATTGAGTATAATCTTTTTACCTTTTCTACTTAAGTTTATTTAAGGAAATATTTGGTCCGGCACCTTCACAAATTAACTGACGCCTTCAGAAATTAACAACGAATCTTTCAATAAAAATTTTGCACAAAGGCCTTAAAAATTGTCTACATTTTTGCAGTATTGAAAATGGTTTCAAGGAACAAATGAAAATCGAGGATAACAGCAGCTTAGATCTAATTTAGTGCATATATATTCACTATTAGGCCTAATATGTTTGGTTAGACTTAGGATGCGTTAGTCTAGATTAGGATAAGTTTGGTTAGCATTAGACGAAAATAGGCTGGATTGTGAGAAGCATTTTCGATAGCCTTGCAAAAATATGTTGACAATTAGGTTGTGTACAATCCATATTTTGAATTTAGGATTATATGCTTATAAAATGTCTTATTGTTGGATGGGTTTGGACTACTCTTTATATACAATTTTTATTGGAAGCAAATTCTACCTGACTGAAGACATATAGACCTAGGCTATAAGAACCAAATAAGGCTGTACAGTTTATTACTGCCATGCATTCGAAGTACTACATATGAACTAGGCTCATCCCAGCAGATACTTTGTTTTGTTAAACCCTAAATCAGCCTAACAAACCCTAAACTTAGGCCTAGTCTATGTAGAGTATTGAATGTTCAAAAATGTCTTTCTATGAAAATCTATCATGCAAAAATCTTATAAGTTTAGGCTAATGGAAAGTCATTATTTGTTCGTGTCTAACATGTTACATATGTGTTTATTTGGGGGAGAGGTTGCCATGCGTCGTTAGGGAGGACATACTTTAATGTCCTATTTTATATTGTCCTAATATTTTATCATCCAGCCAGGATAAGCTGGTAGACTAGGTTGGGCGGGTGTAGCCTAGTACGGTACCAGTTATTTGCGCTCGCCCAGGATGGGTATACAAAGTGTATATATCTTTGTTATCCTATGTAATGGGTACAAATCAAATATTACTTGCGGTAGTGAGATTTATGTCTTGTGTGTGTGCAGGAATCTTTAGCCCCCAGGCCACAGGGTCTTGTATATTTACTCATCTTAACCCCACGGGCTTTTATGGTTTTGAATTCGCGTATTGAGTTTACCTCCATTACACCTGCTCCTAGTGCGTTTCCCTCGCTATCCTTGCTGAAGAGAGCTTATATAATTCATTCATTCACACACACTCTCTCTCTCTCTCTCTCTCTCTCTCTCTCTCTCTCTCTCTCTCTCTCTCTCTCTCTCTCTCTCTCTCTCTCTCTCTCTCTCTCTCTCTCTCTCTCTCTCTCTCTCTCTCTCTCTCTCTCTCTCTCTCTCTTCTCTTTCTCTTTCTTTTGAGTGTTCAGTGATCAGCGACGTATTTTAAATGTGATTATGGCAACCTGATCTCGTCACAATTCTTTCCCACGCCTCGCAACTGATGACGTATGTACCTGTCGCGAACAGCAACCTGTCCTCAGGCTAGGCTCATCCATCCAGCGGTCGACCCCAATGACGCAATCATCTATATTAACATACTGCGTGCTCCCAATGTTTATTTTCTCAAAATATAATTTAATATTATTACATACTACAGTGTGTTAAATAGTTAGGTTCAACTTAAATTAGGTAAGCAGGTTCTGCTGGCAAATATTGGTTTTCGCAGCACGTGGGTGAAGCATTTAGTGAGGTGGGATTAGGGTAGAGGACAGTATCGATTTTCTGGAATTATTTCCTGGAAATCCAGAGTTTTCATGGCTATTAACTGTGGCGATATTTCTCATGGTGTTTTCCTGTATTGTCACCTAGTTGTGCTTGCGGGGGTTGAGCTTTGGCTCTTTGGTCCCGCCTCTCAACTGATAACGAGGCACTGTGATAGAAAGTACGTGATATCTGTTGTTATGTTTGTTTTTCATTCATCAACTGGTTGTTTGTCGCCCGGAAGATTATCGAGCATTTAGCTTTCGTTGATGACGGGCTGCAGTACTAGGTTAAATTGATGTACGCGTCTTTAGGGTTGACCGCCAGTCGACTAGCCTAGCCTCAGGACAGGTTTGGTCCCCTGAGTCATCTATACCGCCAGTTATGAGTTTTGTGAGACCTAGCGCTATCATATCGCTAAGTTCAGTCGTTTGGAACTACCGTAGTTCAGGGACCAGCCTGATGGCAAGCCTCGGGACTTTATCACGCTATATATGCTCTAAAAATCCGCACCTTATTAGCACGTAGGGCTAGGCTTGCTGTACTATTGGTTTTGTGTGTATGGTGTATATTATTAATATGAAAGATCTCTCATGGTGTACAATAGGATTTTCTGAAAGATTTGTGGAGTGCTGTTTTGTAAATAATTCATCGTGATGCATAATCATAATTGATTTATTGTAATATACAGTAGGCTACGCCCTATGTAAAGAATTGATTTCCAAGATTATATATATATATATATATATATATATATATATATATATATATATATATATATATATATATATATATATATATATATATATATATATATATATATATATATATATATATATATATATATATATATATATATATATATATATATATATATATATATATATATATATATATATATATATATATATATATATATATATATATATA